TGCTGTACCACTGATTGAGGGCTTGCTGTGAATGGGCCCCAAGGACACCAGAACACTTTCACTGGCATTAAAGTGTGTCTGCAGCCATTATTTTAAGATGTTAGTGAAGCTTGATATGCATGAAAAACATGTCAAAAATACAATTTCCAAAACGTCATGATTTATTTACTATATGATTTAACATGAATGTTTTGGTTCGGTGTCCAAATACCTAAGCAAAAGTTTTTGAGTAAAAATAAAAGCATAATTGAATCTTATGTTGATTTGAAATGACTGAATCTAAATATCTCTGCACCCTGCAGTCAAACTCCCTCTCCTTATCGTGTTGTTTAGTGGAAGCCTGCACATCATTTAGAAAACTAACCACAGAACTGGTGGCTAACAAGATAATGACCAACATTTTTGTGTTCCTCTCTCTTAGCTGGGAAAGTGTCTTGTAATTGATGTTAAACCTTCTTTTTAATGTGTGTGTGTGGAGTGCTTTTCTCTCTGCTACTGCTTCACAGCAGTTTAACTGTAGAGACTAGATTGTATGTCACTGTTTTATATTTGTGTTTAGAGCATTATCTGATATCAATGTGTGTCAACCAGGCAGTTATTGACACTATATTATGTACGATATCATCTCATGGGCTACTTGTTGTTACCACATTAAGATTTCATTTCTCCAACACCGGTAAACCAATTTTCCGGCACGTTAGCCTGTTATTGCACAATAACTTATGCATTTAAGTGTCAGCAGTCACTGTTGCACACTGTAACATTTTATAAGCAATGAGCTCCTCTAAAGGACAGATTTCTATTTGTATCTATTTCTATATCTATTTCCCTGATGTTCCCCTCAAAGGTCAGAGTTGTCGGATCACATTTGTTGAGCTACACTACTGTGCAGGTCAAGAGTTGAACTTCCTAACCATTTGTGCTGGCTTACGTCATTCTAAGTGTAATTCTGCTGCTTTGAGCAGCCTTTGTAACATCACAGTGACCATAATCTGTCTCATGTGAGACGGATTCAATCCTGTGGATGCAGATGAATAATTAACACAAAAAGCAAATGCTAGCGTTGGTGTCCTGCTGTTTTCAGGGTATGTAAGGCAATCTTTGAGAGAACCACAGCATTTCTTGGGATGTTTCTCGTCTACAAACTGCATTTAAGCTTAAAAATCTTTGCTAGTTTACGTTCACTAGTCATGTTGGAACATTTAACTGCAGAGCAGGTTGACACCTTCATCGTTGAACTGTGGTGTTACAGTTAATGCTACTACAAAAGTAGAAGTTTAGCTTGAGGTCATCAGGTTCAATGAAAAAGCATCTCATTCAAAGCTCTGAATATGGATTTGAATGAAAATGTAGGACACTAAAATGAATATTTATTGATTTCATTAAGGGTAATGAATGCACTATGTACAAAGATCTAATGAACCTCAGAAATGAGACTTTTTCATGAGTATCAGAGTGCAAGTCAAAGCACAGTTAATTGTCTGTCTCCTCTCTATCTCTGGGTTTTTTATAACCAAATAAAAGCTTCAGTTAATTACTCAAATTTCACACAATGCACACTTGTATGATGACATGCACCCAGTATATCACACAATAAAAAAACGAATTCCCATCTGATAAGATGCTGGTGTTTAAAGAGGTCTGACTGACAGGACATCCCTGTTTTAAGGACCTTTGAAACATTTGCCAAGTACAAGATTGCTGGTTTACTTATTGTCTCTGACAGCATTATTATTGAGTTATTTGAGCTGTGCACCTCAGAACCTCCAAAACCAAATCTGTTTTTTAGCTCAGCAAGAAAGATGTACGTTTAACTACTTTTATCAATGGAATTTTAAGATCTGTGCCGACACCAAAGAGCTCATCTTCCCTGCTCCTAAATGCCATATTATTGGAGATTGTGGTTTTACATATATACCAGTCATCCTACACTCTGTTGGATCATTGCCAAGGAGGGTTCTGGCATTATCTCCTTATCCAGTGCAGATTAGTGAGTAATGATTGAAAATCACTGGGATCAGATCACCCACAGTCCACAGCTGCTTCTCAGTGGGCCGCTGCTACCTGGATTTCTTATTTGATGCTAGGTTTAAGTTTGGCCTTTCTGGAAGGAAATCTTGCCTAAAAGCTCATCTCCATGCATTAGTCCCTGGTCTACATTTTAAAATCATTGTGTTGTACAATACAAATAGTATGAGATTTCCGTTTATTGCCTCTGCTAGTTTAACTTTTCCCAAAGTTGTATTTTTACAAAGCCAGGGAGTTTAAACTGTAATGAAAAATAGTTTTATGCTACATTTCTCTCTATTGTTTTGTTAATTGATTATTTTCTTACAAAAGGAAAGAGCCAAAGGCTATTGTCTGTGAGTGGTGATTACATGTTCGTCCCCACTGTCTCATTATATTCTATATTCTCTTCAATAAGTAGTTCTGTTGTTAGACTTGTATTGGACTAAAGGGTGGAAATTATACTCCGCATAATTTTCTTTTACTGTGAAAGGAGAGATTGCGCTGCTTGTAGAATTGATTTGTACTTTTTAATTTATAAAGATTTGAATTTGTGTCTTGTAAATGCAACACCGGGGCACTAAAGAATAATAAGGCTCAATATCAAGTGCATCTGAAGCACAATTAGGTGCAGTGAAAGAGAACCAGTGTGTTTTGTGTTTATTTAATGATGCTGCATCAGAGGAGAGGAATACTGAGCCTTCACTCTCTCATGTTTCCCACGCACCGCTGACATCTAACGCCACTATGCAGGTTATTTAACATCTGCTTATCAGAAGGGAGGATGCTTTGAACCGGCTATCTGCTTCATGCAAAAAACAAAACAAAGCTGGGATTCATTTAAAACTGCTATTTTCTTGCTGTCAGCCTCTGCTTTCTGTGGGCTAAAGACGCTCCGCGCTCACGTTTCCAGCTGTGAAGGCCACGTTTAAACTCAAGCGGCTGCAGAAGATAAAGTCCAGAGCCAAACGGTCACTCGCTGGTGTTCCAGCGGCATCTGAGCCGTCAGAAAACCACGTGGGCACAAATTCAAAGCTGCAGCCAGTTCAGAGCCACAAGCTGACACGACCTGGAGAAACACACCCACTACCCACTCACGTCTGCTGCATAGCTGCTCATATACACCACTGTTGTGCAGGAGTAAACAGCTAGTTCACACACACATATGTGCATTTTAAATGTGTGTACAGATATTATTTTTGCATTCAGCTCTAACACTGCCTTGCTGCACTGACACACACTTTGCTTAAACTGTCGTTTGCAAACAAGAAACCAGTTTAATGTCGCCATCATGTTTTTTATCAGATTGCCAAACAAGCTTGGTGACATGTTTTTTTTTTGTTTTTGTTTTTCTTAAGAACAGGAAGTCAGTTCTGCCTCACTCTCAATCAGCATCTCGAGGGGTCACTGGTGTCACAGAGATGAAGATATCAGGCAATTCACTGTTTTTTGTTTTTTTAATCAGACCTGAAGAGGACATTCAGTTTAGCCATCAATAAGACGGACATTTAATCTCCTTTTCAAACAAAATGTTACTCTAGAAACTACTTTTAATGGCTATTTATTTTTTAGAAAAAGCCAAGACACAAAAAGAACGGTCATGTGTTTCATGGGGTTTCTAAAGCTCCAATTAAAGTTTTAAAACCTAAAGTTGCACACATCCTCCACAGTTTGAGATGGAGGCTGCAGCCTGTCTTTCAGTCTGTGCTTATCTTGCAGATGTGAAGGATAAGGAAAGAGGAAGAGCCAAACAACTTCCTGATCAGCCCTTTGATAGTGGCGCTGATGATGTGAACTCGTCTCTGTGTGTCCCTCCCGTCTTTTCACAAGTTTCTGCTTCCCCCTCTGTGTCCCCCACTTAAATTTGACCTGAATATACCCAGCTTTTTCTACATTTTCTTTCTGTTAGTATGGTCGGGTTTGAATTTGGTCTGATGTTCCAAACAGAAACTAAATCTCATTCGTCTCATTTTAAAGCAACAAGTTGCAGAGATGCAGTCTTCACTTAGGAAATAAACGAGGTGTGTTTTCCTGCAAAGCTACAAAAAGCAAGTGCATTAATAGCCTTAGTTATTAGATAAAAGCACAAATAGATGCATTAACATAAATTTGAATGACCTATCTAGTTGTAAGGAATGGGACGGCTGCAAGAGCACTCTGTTGGTCCATTAATATTTTTTTTGTAATCCTTTTTCCCTTTTTGGTAGCAAGAAAGCTGCTAAGAAATGGTTGTTTTTTTTATACCTTTCCCATTTATATTGCAACTGAGGCTTGTTTTAGGCAATTTTTCTTCAACATGTAAAGTCTGATATAAAGTCACAACAATGGTAAAAAGCAAAATTTAGTTTATTTCTGGGTCAGTACCGATTTAGCCAAGATATTCTCCTTTGATCTCTAGCCTATTAATGTTATCACTGTCTGAAATCTGTTCTCTGAACATGTCTTTTAATTACTAATTACAGTTTCAAAACCTTTACTTCAAAGAATCTTGGGGTATGAATATAGTCAGAATGCACAAATCAACATTTAGCTGACGGTACCACAGAGACCTGTTTGACCTGTTTGGTGAAAACGAGCCGGCTGGTCCTCTGGGAGGAGCACACGGCTCCTGCAGAAACGCTGGGCCTACTGCATCCTGCACCACCCAATACCTGCTTCCCCTCAGCTGATTAAATTAGTCCTATGATTTGTTCCACCTTTGGCCCTGAAGCAGAAAGCATCCAGAGAATATCTGTAGGATATTACAGACTATTACAGCATTATTGCTCAAGAAGTCATTTAGGTATTAGAAATTCTGGCTGATGAGAGGCTAAATATGAAGATAAGACAGGGGGCTCCAGGTTTTTGAAAAGCAGTATGTGAATAATCAAAAACTGTGTTTAATCCCCCAAAGTTAAAGAGTTCAGACATATTGTATACTGTGGTTATAATAAATGGCTGGAGTGAAGCGCCCATAAGTTTGTGTGTGGGGCTCTCTGGTATTTCCACCTTAGTGAAATACATCCACTGGATTTTCCCACTCCGTTCTGCTCCAGTCTGGACGACCCTCCGGTCCCCACCGCCATAACTCAGCTCAGCAGTGTGTGTGACTTTTCCCTCTGTTTCAGCGTGGCTGTCTCTATCGGAGTCTTCGGGGAGGAGCCGTGTGTGTGTGTGTGTGTGTGTGTGTCTGACCTATGTTCTCGGTCTCTTTCTGCAGGTTTATCGCAGTCATCACTATGACTGATGGGGATTATGACTACCTTATAAAGCTCCTGGCCCTGGGGGACTCCGGCGTGGGGAAAACTACTTTCCTGTACCGATACACAGACAACAAGTTCAACCCCAAGTTCATCACCACAGTGGGCATAGACTTCAGGGAAAAGAGAGTGGTGAGTCTGTGGCCTTCTCATTCTGTCCTCTGTAAGGAGCAGATCATGCACTCTGAATAATTATGTTTGACTGATGAATTGTTCTGTGCTTCAAAGTTTTCTGATACACCTCACATTCAGGGCAGGGTTGCCATGGTTACCGTGGCATTTGTCTAAGCCTTCTCTGTGAACTTAACGTACGACGGATCAAATAGTGAGTCAGGTCGGGTCGAGTATCAGATGCTCTCCTCCCACTGTTGCTGCTAAGCTGAGTCACTCAGAGTAAATAACCCAGAAGGATTTTTAGACCCAAAGGCAGGTCAACCAGTTTGTTTTTAAGATGAATATTTCTGTGGATGAAGAATTAGAACATTTCTGTTTATTTAGTCACTTAGCCGTCCTTCAGTGACTTGTCTTGTGAAACACAAGGTTGAGCAAATATTTGTCTCCAGGATGTTGCACGCAGTAAAAATAAAGACGATTTAAAGACACAAATGAATCTTGAAATGAAGAAACAAGCTGTGATCCACTACTGGAAGGGCGAGGCCTGATGCTGACCTGAAGGCAGCGGTCTGGTTTTTGAACATCTTTGGATGGAGTTCCATAAATCTTAGAAAGCATTTGTTTGGGTCTTTGGAAGCTTCTTTCCTCCCACTTGGACCGGTTGTTGACTCTTGAGATAACGACCAATTGGTCATGGCGTGGATGTGAACAGCCAATCGGGACGGATGGAGAAGTCTTTCTGCTAAATGCAGCGTTCAGCCATTCGGCACTGAGCTACAGGGTGGTTGGAGGCATTTTAGAAGCTGCTTCAAACACCAAGAAGCTGCAGATTGAATGTTTTTCTGTAGGGCTAAAACATGTGGATGTCGGGAAATGTTGACAGTTCCACATCCTGACAGGTTGACAGTCTCATTGAGTCGTTTTCGACTTGAAAGCTGGCTGATGGGACGGATGCAGTTGGTGTTTCTGTATTTGGAAGGATGGCAGGGGGGATGAGCTTTGTGTTAAAGGATGATTGACAGGATGCAGGACTCCTTCTTCCTCCTGTGCTTGAAGATAATTCCCCCTGAGTTTGGCTGTATGTTAGCTTTATGTCAGGGCTGGGACTTAAAAGGAGGGCAGGTGGACATGTTTGAATCATGTTTTCAACTATAAGAATCCATAACTCATGCTGTAAGATGAAGACTCGTAAGACAATAGACTGCACAAATAGACATTTCCTTTTTTTTGGTATGTTTTTTTTAATCCACACTAAATGACACTGGTCAACTCACTGAAAATCGACCCTGGAAACTGGAAACTGCTCCCAAAATCGAAAAAAAAGCAGCTATTGAATTAACTTGTGTTAATGTGTGAAGAGTCAACAAATGACAATCAAGGTATAACACCATGGAGATATAAGACCTACTGATATAAGTGACCCATGTGTAAACAACCAACTGAGGGGTGGAGTTTATGTTCTGGCCAACATCTCTGGGAGCTGCCCTCCTCTCCAAATATCAGATTAACCAACAGTTAAGGGCCATTTACTAAAAGCTCTTCTGATTCTAGAGGCTGACTGCCAAAAGGACAAAATAAAAAATGGAAAGTGCAGTTACGTCTTTATTATTCCTGTTAATGGTGCTTACTGTATGACTGGAGTTTAAAAAAAAAAACTCTGCATGAAGCTTAACTGTCAGCCTGAAAAAGCTTCTCCTGGGATTAATACACTCTGGTCGCCTTCAGGGAAAATGCAGAGGCCTTAAGAATCACTTTCTTGGTGTTTTCAGACCGAAACATTCTGTGTGAGTTCTGCCATTCTTTCAGCCATGTAAAAATATCAAGTAAATTCTCCTCCTAGTTTGTGCTAATGCTTACTGTTAGGCTTTAAATTTCCCTGAGGAGTGGATGTGGGTGTTTTAGCCGGCCCTGTGAGGACCTGTCCAGGGTGTACCACACCCCTGGTCCATGGTCCAGACCCCACAGCCCCACTAGACATAAGCAGTACAGCTCACGGATGGATGGTGTGAATTGGACTGTGACTCCAAAGCTCAGAGCTAAAAGGCTCTCTGGCCTTTGCTTTCTGAGACTGCGTCATTTTGTCTGCTGTCGTATCGTTAACGTGCACTATCACAAGCACATCCTTTGCAACATTTATCATTTCTAACAGCACCTAAAATAAAATGATTTTCCACACCAATAGGCAGAAGAAAATGCTATTTTTGAGGAAAGGAGCTTGATTACTTAATTTAGGAAAGATAGAAAAGTATGTTTTTTAATAGTTTTTTATGGTACTTTGTCGCTGTTAATGATATCATTCAGGATTCCGTTGAGCTATCCCTCAAAACACAGCACCAGGCAGTAAGATGGCTGTAGGGCAGGAAAATGTGGTCTGACAGGCCAAAATGAAGATGCATTGGGACTTTGCAGGAGTTCAGATTCACTGTGCTGGTTGTGACATGAGCATGGATGAGATGTCCCAATGTGGTAAAACAACAAGGATTTGTCTCATTACAGCTGACAGCCTCATGTGTTTCATTCAGTGCATCTTTTAAATATGCATGGAGAGGAATGGAAAAAGGAGGCCTACAAATCTCAGCTTAACGGCGGCTGTCACACTCACGGGCTCTGTTCTGAGAACCAGTACACACCCAGCATCACAGCGGAGCCCTTTTCAAAAAGCCCAGGCTGCTGATTCTCTGTTGTCTGTGTTCCAGACGGGTCTGCTGGGGCTCCAGTACCAGGTAGCTCACAGGGAAAATGCACTGGCAGGTTTCAGAACAGCCTCCCAGTCTGCATTCCAGCATCAAACGCAGCTCAGAGCCGGACTCCTGTGGTGTGTTTCATTAGTCTGATGAGGATCTGTGTGGAAAAGGGTCAGGGAAAGTGTCCAGTCCTGCTGAGTGGGAGGTGTGAATGTTGCCCCGAGGCTCGGGAGGCCATTGTCACACTAACAATCACCGTCCTGGTGGGTGTTCTGCAGCCAGTGGAGTACCGGCAGAGTCGAGCACAGGTTTCTGGATTCACTGCTCACGCGTTTTCATTTCCCCAAACACTCATTCAAACTCCAGTGGAGATGTTTCTTGACATCTTTCAGCTAAAACTAACGGTCTAATAAAAGAGCCGCTAAGATACATGCGGTTTATTCTAGTAGGTGCTTGATGTGGCCTTCAGGTGATCCGCGATGAGACTGTGCTCCCCTCTGGTTGTCTGCAAAAACTCTGAGATTGAGCAATAATGAATGAATTTAGAGCAAAATAGCAGATTAATTCATGTTGACGATTAATCTGCACACGGATACAGGAGCAGACAGTCACCTGACCTGTCATCATTCTTTCTGTTTTCGTCTGCAGGCCTACACAGCGGCCAACCCCAATGGGACCACCGCCGGGAAAACCTTTAAGGTGCACCTGCAGCTGTGGGACACAGCTGGACAGGAGAGGTAGGCTGCCTGTTAATAAGACCGGATCTGTTTCCATGGCCAGAGTTCCTTAGACTGTGGCCGTTAGATTCTAAGAAGTCATCTGGAAATATTATGCATGTGTATTTTTTTCTGCAGCTCATTTTTTATGATTCAGTGTGTGTAGCTGCAGTTCCCCTGACAAACACCAGGTGCCAGCCAAGATTAATACGTCTGGATCCTGGCAATTAGTTACTTAAAGATGTTATTTTTTACATTTTTATGTCAGTTTATTGTTCTACCAATGACAGGAAGAGAATTGGTCAGTTTACGTTGAGAAAGGAAACTTCCTGCCGTGTGATCCATATCGATCTAAGCTCAATTGTGTGTGTGGACCCTTAATGCAGGCTCTTTGTACCCTTACCCTCCATGTTTGAAAAAACTTGAGTATTGTAGGGACATTTTCGAGGTTTTAAGAGGCCAACAGTCGAACCACTCTGGAGGTTTTCAGTCACCACAGTGATCCTCAGAAAACCCCTTTGTGCTAGTAGGCTGTTTTTAAACCATGCCTAGATTTTAGAAGAATTTTTTCATTTACATCTTATGCCTGAATGAGTTATGCAGTTCAGAAAGGATAAACTGTTTTTGGTTAAAAAATAATGTGGGTGTTTTTAATCTCAGGGTAAATCTTAACTAAAAAGCTTATAATTTTCTAGACAGTTTTCACTGCATCACCTGCATTCTCACATCCACCATAAAGTGAGAAACAGTCAATTTTAAACACCTGATTTTGAGTTTGGCATGAAGGCTTCAACCAAGGACCCATATTCATGAGTGTGTGTCTGTCTGTGTGTGTGGTCTGACCTTGATTGGCTCATTTTATGTATGAAGGTCTGTGACTCACAGCTGGATGAGTCAATATTCCTTACATAATTTTAAATGCATTAACCCAGCTCAACAGAGCAGATCCTCCAGTTTTCAGAGGCAGATTCTCCTGTTCTTGAGCTAGGTCAGTTAACCTGATGTCACTGGAGGTGTTTACTAAACTGACTAAAACTCCCAAACAATCCCAACACTTTGTAGAATGTATTAACAGAGGGTAGGTTTACAGAGGATGGTGATTTTCAGACTTATTTAAATCGATGCGTCTTAAAATATTCAGAGGTTCTTTTGCTGTTAGAGACACAGAATCAGAGATAGCTGAGTGTGGGGGGATTTGGCCGAAAGTCGGCCCTCATCCTTGTGATTTTCAGGCTTTCAGGGGCACTATATTTTAAACGAGCATGATTCTGTCATGAAAGTCCCGGCGACACATTTCCAGTAATCCCTGTCTGTGACCACAGTTAACCATGCCCTCCACAAATACACGTCTTTTTATGCAAAGGAGAAGCCATCCGTTAACACAATGGAAATTTCAGGGTATGATTTAAAACGGGGTTCCTCAGTCTCTGTGCAATTTACCCACCAGGGATGGGACAATCAGTAATAGTCATATACAGATTTTAGAGTAAAATACGTTCCCATCTTGACAAAAAAAAACAAAAAACGACACACTGAAACACAAAATACAACAAAGAAGATACCAAACAGATTGAATTAATTATCAGACAATAGTGTGAGAATATTACTGTCTCCAAAGTCCAATCAGCCTCAAGAGATTTGCTCACTGTTAAAGAGATGGGGTGATGCCACACATCTTTTTTAGGCATTCTGCCTTTGTCACATTCACAACAAAGTCCTTTTTTCATGAAATACAAAAAACCTCACTGTTAGTGATGTTTTCTTTGCTGCTTGGTGAATAAAGTTTGGCTTATTAAACCTTTGCTGAGTGAGTGGCTACACTGTGATGCTTTACTTAGCACCGTTGCCTCATAGCAACCGGGTTCTCGGTTCAAATCCCTGGGGGACTTTTCTATGTGGAGTTTGTGTGTTCTTGAGATTCCACCCACAGTCCAAAAACAAGAATGTGTGGTTGATTGGAAGACTCTAACTTGGCTCTAGGGGATCTTTAGGTTGTTTGTCTCTGTGTGGCTCTGGGATGTGGTGGACGGGCAGACTGTCCAGGGTGGACCCCCCCTCCAGCCCAGTGTCGGCTGACAGGTGGATGCTTTGTGGGAGAAGGGCTGCTCTAAGACCATATTAAAAAGAAGGCTTCGAAATCAAAGGTTTCACTTTTTTTCTGAGTTTTTAACTTTAGATATGTGCTGACGACTGTGTAAACAGGGGTTGTTTTTCTTTCAGCAAAGAGCAGAGGTTAGCAGTCGCTACATTTGCAGTGATCTGCTGTTGTAGTTCTGATTTAATATTCTGCCTGTTCAGTGTTTAACTGTGTCGTTTACCCATACCATGGGCTTTTAGGGGAGCATTTGAACAGCGTACTGACTCATCTTTCTGTTTGTGGTGCCCCCCCTCCCTGTGCCCTTCTCGTGAGGCAGGTTCCGCAGCCTGACGACGGCCTTCTTCAGGGACGCCATGGGCTTCCTGCTGATGTTCGACCTCACCAGCCAGCAGAGCTTTCTCAACGTCAGGAACTGGATGAGTAGGTCCCCTGCATGCGCCGGCCTCCTCAGTTATTGCATGCTCTGTTACGCATGAGATCACACACCCAAAACACCTTTGACACATCGATGATTTTCCGTTTGGCATTTTGACCATATCGTGACTTTTCTGTGCTCGTAGGCCAACTCCAGGCCAATGCCTACTGTGAGAACCCAGATATTGTTTTAGTGGGAAACAAGGCGGACCTGGCTGACCAGCGGGAGGTCCAGGAGAAACAGGCCAAGGAGCTGGCCGATAAATACGGGCAAGTTTATTTCTCACACACAGGCTTTAGGGTGTATATTTGACTTACTTAAAATAACTGAGAGGTCATGTGTAACATGGAGGCTGTCATTGCCTCATTATATTGTGCTCTAATGACATCAGAACAAGACAGTAAATCTTTGGACCACTCAGTATTTAAAGGTTTAAACACTTGTTTAAACACAGTGTGATGGCTGTGAGGCTAAATCTGGGGACTAAATTGAATTAAATCTAAGTCCTAAATTCAGTGGGTTCCAGAATTGTGAAGCTGCCAAATAAGGGGTCATAAGGTCAAGTTGATATAACTTGACTGATTAAGAAGTTTCTAACTATTTTAGCAAACATCCTAATGCAGCAAAATTCAATTCTTTACAACCTAAAAACATGCCAAACATGTTTTCCTATTAATGGGGGAAAAAAGATTAAATAAAACTAAAGCTGGTAAATATGGAAACAACAACTAATGACATGTCCTCACTATCAGTTGTTCAAAGTAAACCAAACAGGCTCCTTTTGGAGTGTGGCCCAGTCTGACAACTGGATGGAGCTGAATGATACTCAGAGCTCAGATTGGAAAATGTATTTGAGGATTAATATACATTTGTATTATTTTCAAAGTGACACCCAGTACAATGATCAAATGAAACAAATCTAAGACATTTATGGGGTCTGTTTGTTTCTGTTCCACCTGGACTTTTGCAGTAACATTATTTTCCCAGCAGCTAAAGGGCTGGCCATGGTTTGACATTTAAAGAAACTTTGTATTTCCCATGGAAATGACAGCTGATGGCTCTGTCAAGTAGTAAGAAATTAGAAAGCATCTCCATTTATTAGTTTTGGCAAACTAAATCTAAAACTTAAAAAAAAGCAGGCACACACTACTGTACCACCTAGTGTGCTGTTATTGGTTAGAACAGATTAGATAATGCTCTGGGGAATAGTTTAGGGAGCTCAAACCATATAAAAACTCTTCTGGATTGCATGTTCTGTGCAGGATCCCATACTTTGAGACCAGTGCAGCGACGGGTGCAGACGTAGACAAGGCGGTGATCACGCTGCTGGACCTGGTCATGAAGAGGATGGAGCAGTGTGTGGACAAACCGCCTGCAGAGCCGGCCAATGGCAACGGGGCTACAAAGCTTGGTGACACACAGCCCAATGAGAAGAAATGCGCATGTTAAATCCTGGGGGATGAAAGACAACCACCAGTCAATGCTCCTCTGTTGTCCATCCTTTCCTCTGGTCGCCTTCTTTTCTTCTCTCACTGTTTACTCCCTGTCTATTACGATGGCATGTTTTTAATCTTTTCTTTATTCCCTGATTTATGAAAATAAAAATGAGCCATTTTCTCCTTTGGCTCTTTCCGTACATATGTTCTCCCTTAACCTCCCCAACCGCCATTCTGACAATTAAACGACTCCATCTCCCTCTAATGGACATTTAAGGTAGTACAGTCACAGCCTGTCGGCCTTCTGAAGGAAATTAAAACGGTAGGGGACAGTTTCATCACTGTCGGACACATAATGTGCCTCATTTAAAACACACAGCCTGGGAATTAAGCTCTGCACGCTCTCCATCTCTCTGCTGGCAAATGCTCTGAATCATTATAATGGACCTGAACACTCAAAGTGAGCTGTTTACAACTTTAATTTGAACTCTTTAACTCTGTTTATTATTCCATTACAGCTTTATGTTTAAACTGGGCCATAAAGTGTGTGATATCACGCTGTGTGTCTGCTTCCATTAGGTCTTATCCAGCTGAAGCTTTCCCTTCGAAGCAGCAGGAAGGAATGTCTGACTTTTCTTTTCTTTTCTTTTCCCCCTTTTATCTGTCTGCATTCTGCAGGACCTGTTGTAGCCACACGCGGAAACCTTTCAGTGCTCGGAGATGTTCTGTTTAGAAGTTTGCTCAACGTGCCATATTGTGTTTTGTAGAATTGGCTTTGGTGTCCTGTTGGAGGTCTGTGGCACTGGAGCAGGTAGCTGCAGTAGTATCTCTGAACTTAAAAAGCTGTCTCTGAGTCAGAATGATCAGTGACTCATTTATTGTATCATCAGTGTCTTCTCTAGCTATTCTGAAAGAAGTGTTAGGCAGCCAGTGTTGCATAGATAGGGTCAACAATCACTTTTGTCATTACTGGGTCAGAACACACAACACAGATGCTAGGATGGAAAAGCCCAGCTAGCATTCATTTAGTGGTTTTATGGCAGGTACAGCCTCTAAACAGGGAGCGGTCTAACTCCAGGCTGTAGTGGTACGGCTTCCTTTCTGTCTGCGCTCCACGCCATTTAGATGAGTATTAGCTCACCAGTTTAGCGAAACTTTTACTTATTTTGCTATCCACTAAAAAATGTACCTCTTAGAACCTTCAAGGAAAGAAGAAAGCAATGTTTGCTCTGAATTTTCTTTCATATCAGATTTTTGGTACAGGTACTTTTATGCATCTCCAGTTATTCCTGCTATTTTTCTTTTTCTCTTAATGACCTAAATTTACTTTAGAGGCCTTTAACAATATTTTTCATAATGGAGTAAATCAAAATCAATCCAATATAAATAAATTATTCATTTTTTTTGCATGTTGCTTATTCAAATCTATTTTCATTTATAGACAAATACACAGATTTGGGTATGAATCTAAATGCTTGTTAAAATAGGTAAACGCTTAATTTTATTTAACCAAAGCAGTCTGATCATGTCATGGAAATGTTCTAGGTCCAAACCTGACTGGCCGGAGGAGGCTGGCGTTTGGACTCTACTGGTCTGACTATCTTATGTAGCAACCACGCTCACAAGTTTTATTTTGACTGCCAGCAGGATTTGGGTTTAAAAGCAGTGCCCAGTGTCTTTGATTAGTTCCATTAGAGGAGCTTCCTGTCATTATTCTGAGGTATTAGCATGTCAGATTAAGATACCCTGACCTGGTCTGCTGGATTAAAAAAAAATGTATTACCTGCCTTGTCCTTTACTAGAATGAGCATTGTTTGGCAACTTTAAAACTGTAGTATTTCATATATTCTCTAACATAATGTGCATTCCATAAGTATTTGGCTGGATCCTTTTCCCATTCCTGCTGTGCTTAAGACACAGAACTGCCTCAGTCAGCTAAAGGTTAACAGCCCAGTTTCAGTTTGCTGATGCACAGCATTCTTACCATGATATCACCACAAAAATTGGAGGGCTTGATCGATCTTTATGATGAATAATGAATGTTTTCACCAGGATAGATGAAGTTTTCCAGACTCATCTACTGCTTTGATGGTCAAAGCATTATTCAGTATTGGCACAACAGACTTGGACAGTTTCAGACAAGTCTGCCACAATGTTGCGTCATCACTAAAAACTAAAGAAATTCACTCAATACCTTAAAAAGAACTTGCTACAAATATATTTGTGAAGAGTTATTTGAAAAATCCTCTAAATGTTTTCTATGGTGGAAATATTCAACCAGAACTTTCCAAATTGGAGTTAAATGTCCAACAGGTGACTTGGGGTTTTTGGTGCCACTGACTTAAGATATTGGTTTCTTCAGATTTTTTTGTTCTGACTTGTGTGAGTATAATCTAATTGACTTAAGGCTTTGAGGTCCTATACTGCAGTGTTTCACAGTCCTGCATGTTGCCGGTTCCAGCACCCCTGATCCAGATGAGTGTGTGGTTCTCATCCTGCTGCAGAACCGAGCAGCCGATCCATTCTTCTGAATCAGGTGTGCTGGAACAATGACGGAATATCCACTGACCATTTATTTATGTAAAGAGAAATGTATTTTTCTTTTGCCACGTTCATATTCCGCTTCCTGTTTTCTTTATTTCAGTCACAATGTCTGTAAAGTGAGGCTTTTATATTTGTGAGATACTTTAACTTGAAGAAAATACATGATGAATTCTTAAAGCTGTGTCTGTGGTTTGAACCTAAATGGACCAAGTGTTTGTGTTTAGTTGCACACCACCATGTACAGTTCATTTCAAAATGGACCAAACTGATCAGCCACCATCCAAAAAAACAATGACAAAGTATTATTGATTTAAAAAAGGAGGAAATTAAATCAGAAAGTATTTAGGTATTTGCCTTAGAACAGTATGCTCCAGGTCGATGCTAGCTTCAGTCAAGCTTTGCAAACCTGGAATTAGTCATTTTCTCATTCCTTCCTGCTGATCCCATCAATCTGTATTAGATGAAAAAGGAAACATCTGTTAGTTGCCTTCTTCAGGTCTTTCCATAAACAACCTGTGAGGTTTTTGTGGGATCTTTAGTTTGATCATGTAACATCACTCAGAGGCCATAAGCTGTTTTTCCTGGTCTGCATTGTTCCTGCTGCAACAGTTGCTCTTAAGGATTACATTTACAAAGAAGAATAGCAAAACACACACACACACCAGCCAGTAAGAAGCAGGTAGGATGAAAATTCACACACAGGTCAAGGGTTGTTTTTGTTGTTTGTTAACATTTTTGTGATGTACTGCTTTATTTCTGTTTTTAAAGAAGAAGCTGACATATCTTTGGTCATTTTGACTGGTACAGTTGTAAATTGATTACTATATTTTATATTGTAGTTTTCTCTTTTATCAAGAATGTTTTTTCCCTTCACAAACCCAGGCGCATATAAATATATATATTCCTTTGTTTGAAAGCCAAAATATGGCAAGTTGCCCACAGTTGATCTTAGAGTTGCCACTCTGTAGCAGAAGTGCCATTAATCAAAAGTTGCTACATTCAGCAAACACAAAGCAACATCCACCATCTATGCCAGAGTAGGCTTGGTGTTAATCACCGACTGATGACCAACTCTAGTCTGAGAGCAACATGACAGTGAAAACGCCGTTAAAGTAGAAATCTCAGTGAAAATTACATGAAACCTTGTTTGTCAATCATTTTCAACCAGTTCCATTGTGGGGTTGAAAAAAAAATCTTGATGAAGCTGTTTATTCAAAGGAGTTATTTAAGAATACTGACTGCTTGTACAAGACAAGACTGGGTTATTTGTATTTTTGGTGAAAGTGGAACAATTAAAGTGAGTGTACTTTGCAGTTAAGGATTAAAAAAAAATTAAGCCATTATTCAATGCAAAACTTGTTACCTTCAGATATTTCCCTTCAACCAATGCCTCTTAATTATGACAATCTTCTGACAGTTATAGTTTTTTGTTATGTTCAGTTTTTTATTTATTTATCTTTATGTGCTTGTTCTCAGCTTGTTTTTTTTTTGGCTCAGATACAAATGTCTTTGCTTTGCCATCTTCGCTGCCGCAGGGTCCCAAACACAACATTTGAATTCACATTGAAAGTTTACACCGTTTGCAGTCATGTTCCGCCTGTTAAACTTCTTCTGTCTGATCCTCTGTGGAGTTTTTGAGCTGCTGGATATTTCAATGCGCAACTGATTAGAAATGACCAGGCAGAGGCAAAAGAGAGCAGAAGCCCTGGTGTTGTTTTTGTGCCAGATATATCAGCACCCAATCAAAGTACCTCTAAGAGCTTTTATTTTTGGAAATTCTCTTTGTGTGAGTTATCTCTGATGCCTGCAGTTTGTACTTGTTTTCTGAGTTTTCACTGTGTGTATCGATGCCTGTGTGTGTTTGTTGCACTGTCAGCATGTTTGACACAATGAGAATGGAATGACCTGTGATGCATTCAGTGTTTCTGATGCCAGAGCTGCAAATAAATCTCTGTTGGTTTTATCCTGGTGTTTTTTTCCCCCGAGCCTATAAATATTCAAATCTGAACTTTATTTTGCATAACAGACAGGATATCTGACAGATCATATCAGACAGATATCTGGAATAATTTCATATTGTCTTTGTTTTTAAAATGAAAACATTTTTCTTCAAGAAAGACAAAGTGTATTTATGAACCCCTTAAAGCCTGAATTTATATAGCTGTATACGATCTTTTTTTAATGTGATTTTGCCTTTTAGATGGTAAGTAATGTTGAGATGATTCATTTTACTTTCGCAAAAAAATGTAGATATTTAGGTATGTTGCAAATTTGCGACAACAGGCATAATGGTCAATTTGGTAACACAATAACAAAGTAATATAATAGTGAAAAACAAAGTTTTATTTATTCACCCTTTTTTTTAAACTTGTTTATTTACTTGTGGAAGGTGCCTATGTCCGCCGCACACTAACCAGCACTGGGGGAAAGCAGACGCTATCTGAGCTGGTTTTGTCGTCTTTTCGTCAAGCGATGGATGGTAAATGTATGTATGTATGTTTAATCATTCACCCATTTATTAATTTACACATGTATTAATAAAATACATTTATTCATGCTTATGTATATTTATTCATTCACCCATTTATGACTTGAATGTATTAATATAATACTACATACATACATTTATTCACTCATTGATGCATACATTTATTTATTCCTTCCCATTTAAGAATTTATAAATGTAAGAGCATACATACATTTAGTCATATATTTATTCAACAGAGAATACATGCATGGATTTATTCATGCCTATATTTAATTTTTCATTCACCCATTTATGACTTTATACATGTATTAATATAATATATACATAGATTTATTCATGCATTAATATAATATATTAATATTTATTTATACATACAATTATTCAATGGAACATACATACACATACATACATACATACACGCATATATACACATATACAGTACATACATAACAAAGATTTATTCATGCATTCATACAGATATTTATTTATTCATTCACGCATTTATGACTTTATACATGTATTGATATAATAATAAATATATACATTTATTTATGCAGGGCCTGCGATGGACTGGCGGACTGTCCAGGGTGTACCCCACCT